AGGAAAGATGTATGGGCCTGGGATCCAATGTTTGCGCTGTATGCAATGGACTCTGGAATGCTAAGTCAAGTCAATGTCAGTATTCAAGGATGTAAGTCGTGAAATACACGCCTGTGAAAGTGCCAAGCCTTACAGCGTATATTTTAATCAGAGCAGCAGTCTGTTTAGAAATCACAAGGTTAGATCTGTACTGAAGAAATTTTATTGACCTGGTCCACATGTATCCTTCCTCCTCCATTTTCCTTCCTCTTTTTGGCTACTCTCCATGTCCCTCACTTGGCATTCCACCATGCAGTGCAAAAGGAGTCCCTTCGACAGTCAGAGGCACATGAAAATGAAACCCAAGGGAGCAGAAAGAAGAACCAGGATTCAATTTACCGCTTCTCCCCTCTTTAATCCCAGTTCCAAATTTGCCTACTTGCTTTCTGTCAGGCCCACACAGTGTTGGTTCTCAAGTCCAAACTAATGACTGCTTCTTACTGTTCACCTGGCCTTCTTGCCCAGTGCTTACTAAGTAAAATACAAGACAATATTTTTTACCATGCAATGTGACCACGCAATGTTACCACAGCCTAAGACCATTCCAGCACAGATGCAGGGAGCCCAGAATGGGCCCCATCAAAGTTTTATAATTCCACCAACTTCACCAACATAACACTTTTCCACTTGCCACCTTGGAAGTCCCCTCTATTAAATCTCTGAAACACCATTTTACCACCAGAAAAAAATATGTGAGAGGGAGGGAGTAAGCTGAAAACTGGTCTCACCCAACTGCAGGTTCGTTATAGACACCTGCAAATACAAACTCCTCTTGGTTGAGGCAAAGGGGAATCTGGTTCTCACAACTGGTTGTTCCTCTCCATTTCACTTCATTTTCCCGTTCACAAAGCCACAACTGAGTATGGATGGGGACACTAAGGTCTTTTTCAGACTGGCATTGTGCATGTCTCTCTCTCCACTCAGGTCACTGATAATGAGGCATGTGTTATCAGTACTCGTTAGTCCTCACCTCACTTTAATCAGAATGGTGCTTTTATTTCTCTGGTTCTAGTACCTAACATGAGCTCAGACCTGTGTGATTTTCTGAATAAGAAAGCTAAGAGACGAGAGTCTGGAGGAGGAAGCAGCCTGAACGACCCTGAGAACAAGGTAACCAGTGGGTCTGCGGAGTCAGCGACCTGCAGTGGAGAGACTTCCGCTAGGAAGTCCACCAGGAGGACCAGTTCTGCAGCCACTCAGGCTGCCCTGCAGTCATACTGTGTGCCATGGACTAAGACGGGATCTCCTAGTTTCACAATTCCACCTTGTAGGTAGGATTGTCCTCATCTTACAAAAGGGATAGAAACTAGGGCACAGAGAGGTTAAGAGGCTTGCCATAGTCACACAGCAGATAAGAGGAACCCAGGCATTTTGACCCCAAAGGCCATGCTCTTTCTGGAGACACCCCTCCACACACCCACTCACACACATACTGCTTCTCTGATCAACAGAGGCTGCTTCCCCTGTGTCAGCCTCTTTCTTCATATGCTACCAGGGCAAAGAGGGAGGGCGAGAGGAAGATGGTTGATTTCAGCACTGCTTATGGTTAAATGCAGACACGAACATTTGGCATTCTTCTGCTTTGTGCCTGGCATACAGAGGGGATAGATTTGTGCTTTTTCTGTTGTCCCATAAAAGGCTTGTCTCCACCTTCACCTGCCAACATCTGAGGTACCTCCCTAGGGACTCTTCTGGAGGACAAAACTATGACTCAGGTAATGTCTCAAGGGCACATAAAACATGACAACATCACCAGGATTCTCAATTGACCAGCATAGCTCCTTCCTTTATCAAGTCAAGAGATGGTACTGGAAAGTTTGTCAGTGACAGCAAGCTAGAGAGGATTGGGTTCAGGGGGTTAGCCTGGGTGAACTATGGCAAATCCTATGCTCAGTTTTCACATGGCTGAAAACAACACACACACAAATAAGTACAAGCAAGACTCAGAAAAGCTGAATAAAGTAGTGGATGGTATCAAAGGCAACATCCTGGTTGTGACATGGCACTATTTTGAAAGATTTTACCATTGGGGGGAAAAGGGTACGCGGGATCTATTATTTCCTACAACTGCATATGAGTCTGCAATTAACTCAATAAATGTTTCCTGTAAACAACAACAATAATAAGCAAAACAGTCACCAAACAGGCAAGCCAATGATTTTTATGCTCGGCGTCACTGTGATAAAGTAATATAAATTAAGTAATCTAAGTAAATATAAGTACAGATAAGTAATATAAGATAAAGTAATTTAAGTCTGACCCAGGATCACTGCTGGGCTTTTTGCCTTGTCTGTCTGTCCATCACGAGCAGGACATTTCTGATTATGGGTGAACAACTTGGAGCCGAGTCAGTTTAAATGGTAGTGCTCTGAAAAAAGAAATCATACCATCTTTATTCCTGGAGTCCCAGGCACATACTTGGCACTTATCAAACCTTGCACAATGACTAATAACCTTCATCACTGGTTTTGTTTCAGCTCTGGGTAATTTTTCCCCCAGATAGGTATAGTGTGGTCCTTCCCTATGCACAATTAAGCTGGGCCTATAAATACATACTTTACAAGAAGCCTACTACCACGAACTTTGGCTCAGGAATAGGATATTGTTAGAATTATCTTTCTAACAAGCATCTTTCATGTTTGTTGCAGGTTTTACAACGTAGTCTTCAATCTCATCTAAAAACTTGAATTTATGCTACAATTACAGAAATTTACAGAAACCTGCAAGTAGTCAGGCAGGCCTGGAGGGAGGGGGGATTCATTACAAATACTGTTCTGCATTGTATGCGTAAGTGAAGCATGAACATCTCCCTTATTGTAGCACCGTTTTTTGCATTTAAGGGACATGTGGGATCTTTTAGAAAAGTTCACTGGGTAGGTAAATTCTCTCTTGTCTATTCTGCTACTCTTTGGATTGACTCACCTAACCAATTACCTCTCACTGAGGACTGCTGGTAGTGTTTGACAACTAAAAATTTCACCCCATGAACAAACAAAACAAAAGGCAAAAACAAAAACAAAAACCAATCTTCCAAGTGGGGGAACATATGCTACTTCTCACCCTCCCCCATTCAGTTCTTTTAAGGCACTCATTCATCTTAATTCAAACACACTTTTCTCTGAAAAGTTCTGCCAATTATCTTTCAGCAAAACTTTTATAGCACATGGACATGGGACACAGAACTTTCCAGTTTCCAAGCAACACCAGAGATCCCCTCAGGTTGGCACCACTTGTGAGGGAGGGGTTACTGGCCACCTTGTCTGATTCATCATTTTGCAGTAAAGCCAGAGGGCTACAGGGTCCTGCTCTGGGTTGTCAGGATTAGCACTCAGGCTCCTGGCCTCTACTACACTGTGATGTTTCTTCCAAAAATGACCTACCTACCCTTCTCCTTCCCTTTCATCTCTGCCCAAAAAAGGAGAGAAGATGTCCATGAAAAGTTTTGATCAATTATATCCAAAACATGCATTAAATAAACATAAACACCTTCCCGTCATGTACTCTATACCTCAATATACAGCTGATTGTACGATGACTAGGGACTAAATGAGCCCAAGACGACTGGAGTAGCTAAGGGACAGGACTTGCTCTCTCATTGGGCTGGCACTTGAGTTGCAGAGGGCTTCAGTGTGTAACTATTTAATAACACTGAAAGCACGAACACAGGCAGTGCACCACAGCACTAAATATATTTTATGAAACATACAAATGTGTGGCAATAACTTTCCAAACACAAAAGTCTCTCTCTCTGGGTACACGAGATCCTGAAGGCCTTAAGAACACGATTATTTGGACCCTCTGCATTTATTTCATGTTAATTCCTTACCTGCAAATATTAACTAGGCGTTTCTAGACGGATCAATCCCGAAATTTTCATCATCATCTCTCCTATAACTCCAGCATCTCATATTAAAAGCATTTGAAGATCATACAAGTCTTAAAAGATAGCATTGGACTAAGTTAATTGTCATGGGAAACAACAGAAAGCTAAGCTTCTCAAAGAAATGCACAATGGCTGTTATCATTAGGTGAACTAATAGGGAGGAAAGATATCATCAGATGTCACCTGCTTTAAAAAACTACAGTGTATTGAGTAGTAAACGCAAAGGCGGAGCTATCATACTCAGACAACCCACCAAATAGTTTTCCATGCATTTACAATTCACCAGTTACACTCAAAAAGCCTCCTGGCTGCCACCACCACTACTTTGACCTTTTATGAAAAGATAACCATGTTGAGCTATTTCAAAAAAGAGAGAGACAGAGAGAATCCTGGTGGAAAATAATACCCAGCTGTGATAATATCATGTTTTTTTAAAATACCATAGTACAGTTTTACTTTTAATAATAAAAGATAAAAAAGGGGCGTCTGCGAATAATTAGAGATAGCAGTCTGAAGCCAGTTACAGTCACTGCAATTGATAATAAACTGAAAACCCCTTGAGAGCAGGTAAATGCTTTGCAACCCTGACCCCCTAGCTCTCACATTACTTAACTACCCTGCGGTTCTTGCATTACATCACCATTCAAGCGATTGGTTCCTGCATTTTAACTCTCTCCCGTCTCCTCCGATTAGGAGCGACACCGCAGCAAAGAAACTTCGCCCAAGTTTGCTCTTTCTCGCTTCGCTTTATATCTGTGGCCCTTTAGCTCCGGTCGCTTTGGTTTGCTCTTTTTTTTTTTCCTTTCCCGCCCAGCCCTGCCGCTGTTCAACTCACTCAGGTCGCTGTACAGGAACAAAACTCTTATCAAAGTGGAAAGAAATGCCTCTTTGGGACAAGAGGAGAAGCGGAGAGGCTGGGGAAAGGGAAGAAGGAAGAAGAGGCGGAACAAAGCCGGGGAGAAAGGAAACACGGGGAGAAAATGAAGAGCAGGAGGGCGACCCAGACTTGAGAAAAGAAGGTGGCAGGGGCAAAAAATTCTATAAAATCAGAAAAAAGAAAATAAAATTAAAAACAAACCTCATGGACATCACTGAGGCTGAATTCCCTCCTGAGGTGCAGAACATGAGAGCTCTGGAATGAGTGTGTGTAGAATTTGAGCCAAAGCTTAACTAGCCTGAGTGAGTCATATCCTTCCCATTTGATTCCAGGCCAAGCGATGATGTAATGCGCTGGCCCTTCTCTTGCGCCTGGCTCTAAGCTCTCCCTCCGGCTCGCTCGCTCTCTTTCTCCTGGGCTCGGCCTCCTCCCCCTTCTCCTTTTAGCTCAGTGCTGGTGAAGTCACCATTTAAATCTGGCAGAACTGAAGCAAAAACTTCAATGTAACCAAAACAGCCCCAGGCTGAGTTCCAGACTCAGGGAGCCTTACGGGTGCAATTGCCCTTGGAAACCAGTAAACAGAGGGGGAAACAGTGCCGCCTGGGAGCGCAGAGAGGGGCTGCGAGTTTTTTGGGCAGGGGTCCACGGGTTCCGAGGAGGGGGGAAAAAAACATCGCTGGCTGAAAGAAAATGCCCTGGTGTTTGGGGAAAGGGAAATAACAATGGAGACACTTGTAGAGATGGAGACACGGTGGGGGGCAAAGGGAGAGGAGACGGGAACAGGTTGGAAGGACTGAGCATGAATAAGCAGGACAGGTTACCAGCCCGGGCTTCTGCTGGAACCAGGTGACAAGGTTTCCATCGCCCAGGGCCTTTTTTTTTTTTTTTTTTTCCCTGGAGCTGGATGGGAGTTTCTGTTGCTGAATGCCAGCCACCACCCCTCCAGAGATTTCTCGCATCTGACCTCCCTGTCAGCAAGGGCAAAACCACTTCTGGTCCAAACGCGCGCCCGCGTCTGCAGGCAGCAGGATCTGGGGGTTGACAGTTCTCTCTCCGATGGCCCGTAGTGGTCGCTCTTTGAAATGCGCACGGGGAAAGGAACCAAGTAGCAAAACACAAGGATCGGCTTTCCTTTCCGAGATCAGCACCCCCTCCCCTCCAGGTGAGGTGTCCCAAGGAGCAGGAATTGAAACATGTTCACCCCCAAAATGAAAGCAAGGTATATCCCTTCCTTTACTGTTGGGGAGGTGGGGGGGGGCGGTGCTGGTGCGGGTGGGGCTGTCTGTGAGTTTAAAAGGATACAGAAGAACAAACAGTAAGTGTGTCTCTTTTTTAATTACAGAGTGAGGAAAAACAGCCTGGAGCAGGGGGGAGGGGGAGTCAAACAGGATCATTCACAAATGACAGTGAAGCCCTTTTAATTGCCAAATTCTATCCTCACTTCACTTCTTTCCTGCTCAGGATTTTACCAAGAACAGCCCAGACACTCAGCTGCTTTGTTAGCAGGACTTTTAAACTGTATTGTCTCTCGCTTTTCTTTCCCCCTCACCCCTCAGGCCTCCTTCCAAAAGAAGAAAAGAAAAAAAAAAGCAATTTTAAAAAAATGGGAAGTGCACTAATTTTTTTTTTCAAATACCACAAAAGCAGAAGAAAGGCATGGGTTGGCAATTTTTTTCTCCAAAATAGTCATAGGTTTTTGATAATGTCTTGCCTCCAATGGGTTTTGTAACCAGTGGTTGGAGTAGGTGACATAAACATTTGTCTCTTCACATTTCCCAAGCAGACAACACCAAAAACTACATTTTAAAGAAATCTCTTGATTTCTTAAATATATCTGCTACTAGGGGACAGGGCTGTCATCAGCTTCAGGGAATATCACAGCAAGTCACTCAGAGCAGTTAAAAAGCAAGGTTGAGGGCCTCCACGGTGGTGCAGCGGGTTGAGCACAGAGCAGTGAAGCTGTCCGCAGCCTCTGCAACGCGGGTTCGATTCCCGGCCGGCCAGGGAGATACCCACATGGCGTGACAGACCTCTCCTGTCGCACCTGCTGCTCCCTTCAGCAGTGTATTTTGGTCATCTGCCTGTTCTGCTCCCCACTCTGTCTCTGGTGAATCTTCTCACCCTTCCGCGCCTCGGCCTGTACCCAACTCTTGTATAAAAATAAATAAATCTTAAAAAAAAAAGAAAGAAAGAGAAAGACCCAAATAAAATGCAAAGAGGAGAAAAAACTGAAAATAAAAAAATTAAAAGATGAAAAATTGTGGACAATTTCAAAAGGCATAACATATGTAATTGTAATATCACTTGGGGAAGAAATAAAGGATGGAGTAAAAGAAATATTTAAAATAAAAAAGAAAAAGCAAGGTTGAACTCAGAGAGGGGAGGGAGAAGAGGGGTGAGAACGAGGTGGAAAGAAGCATAATGGACTAAAGTGGTAAACCAGGGGGCTTTGGTGATGGGTGCATTATGGCTACAATACTTGAGGAGGGGGCTGGAAGAAGGGTCCTGTACTCCCCAAATACAAACAACTATGTAAACTAGCAGTACATCCAAAAAAAAAAAAAAAAAAAAAGGATGAAAAAATTCCCACCAAAACATAAAAAAAAAAACCAGGATCATGGCAAACAAAACATTAAAATATGTTCATCTTCAATAGTCCACTTAGCCCTGAGTAGAAAAGCTCTCAATCTTGAGTTCTCTCAACCACCATGGGTCTTAAAACATTGTCTAAATTTTTTTCCTGTTAATCTCTCCAGAAGCAATTACTGCAAATGTTAAAAGTCTTGAATAACCAAATTAAAGATCTGATAATAACATTAAAAAAAAAAAAAGGGCCAGTTTGGCTCAACAGTCTCCCTGACCCAGGGGGCTGGGCCAGGAAAGGCTTTCTCCAGCAGTCTGCCCTGGAGCATGACATCCTCAATTGACGCTGATGCCACAGTTGCCCCAGTGACACCTTTATCAAGGCAGGCAGCTCTGAATTAGAGGTGATCGGCCGTAATTACAGCTGGCGCCACTGAAGCCCATGGCCTGACAGCAGCAAATGTGGTTGTTATAAAGTTTGGTCCACCATGTCAGTGGCCTGTATAACTCACTTACGTCTGACTTGCCAGGCAGTTATTGATTTTTCTTCTGATGCAGGGAATAAATAAAACAATAGCTCCTACAAAGCCTTTCCACTTCCAGGCAGGTTGACAAGATTTTCTATAAATTACTGTCTCCTTTTTATAAGTCATTGACCACATTGGCTAGGATGAAGCAGAGGATTTTCCCTTCTCCACTCTCCCCAACATGTCCTCCATCATCACCTTAGTTTTCAAATGTAAATGCTTTCTTTATGCTATTATTTTAGGCAGGTAAAATGGACATGTGGTGGAGATTTCCAAATTGACATCTTCCTGTAACCTCGATGGGAAAATGCTTTGTAGATTTTTCTTAGACCAGTCACACACAAGCACTGGGTTCAGCTGCTACAGTCCTACCCCTGCTTTTTTTCCTCCAGCAAGTGTCTAAAAGGGACTCTGTGCTGTAGATAAAGATTATGTTAAGGTAACTTTCCTGTGCCTCTTTGGAACAAAATTTTGACCAAAGCCAGGCACAGACATGGAGAGACATACCAGCATCCTTGCTCCTGCCAGGAGAAAGAGGCTTCTAGAACCCAGCCAAATCTGAGGGCCCTGTACCTGGTGATGATGCCACCATGCCAATTATGTGCCTGGACATGTTAAAATTCCCATAAAATGTCTTTGGCTTGCTGGTCTGAGTTGAAATCAATTCCAGAGTTCAAAGGGGTCTGAGCATTTACATTTGCACTTGCTAGTCCCAACAGAAGTCTCCCCCCTGCCATTCCAAATCAGGCATTTTCACTGGCTGCTTGCTTTCTCCCCACTTGAAAAGAAGCCCTGCTTTCCCCTTTCCCTTCCTGTGAGCAGCTAATGATAGAGAATATCCTGTTCCCTAAAGGAAATTCCCTTCCAACTTAAGAGCTTCCTTTTTCACCCATTTGGCTCTCTCACGCCTCTCCCCCCACCCCCCACCAGCCCCTTCCATGTCATAGCTGCTTTTCTGAAGAAGGGGGGCTTTGCAGATAGGAGTCGTGAGATGCTGTAATTCCAGTGGGAGCCTTCTTAGAAGTAGCCCCCAGCCAACAGGCTAGGCCTCCAGATTAGCTGGCTTGCTCAGGAATGCTTGCAACACCCTCCTTTCAGAACCTGTCATCCTTGGGGAGAGGGCGGTGGGTACCGCGCAGCTGTTCGGTGTAACTCACTCACTTACTCCCAGCTCCTGATGAAATGTTCGGCTCCAAAGAAGTGGAAACCTCAGAGATTAGAGCTCAGAGTTCAGAATGCTTTTGGATTCCCTCCAAAACAGCCCACCAGAAAAGGCACAACTTGGAGTGTGGGACCCAGGGGCACGCCAGCCAACAGAAGTAACCTTTGTGTGACTGGGTAAATTTCTGATTCAAACATGGAAAACACAGCAGATAGAAGAAACAATAGCCATCCTTCCTACAGAGACCTGGTTTTCTTTTTTCCCCCTAAGGTTTGAATTTATTCTTCTCAAGGAAAAACATCTTCTTTCATACATTGTTTTCAAAATTTAACCCATGATTCCTACGGTCCCAGTGGAATTTGAGGGGCCAGATAATTTCAGAGTTAAATAAGCTGTAATGACTATCACATGTACCCAGCCATAAACCTAGTATTAAAAATTATTCAGAAAAAAGTGGCATCTCTTCCTTTTTTAATTTACAATAACCATCCAGGTGGTTTTCTAAGGCCTCCTTTGCAAATTGCTTCCAGTGAACCTTCCGGTCACAGACCACTGCATACCCACGTGGTGTCTGTCATTCAGCATTCCCTTCAACTTGGGTGTCCCGTGTTTTCATGGTGGACAGCAGCGGGGGTTGGGGGTTATGTCTGTATGAAACTATGCAGCATATATCTAAACTGTGCACAAGCAGGATAAGCTGGTTTAGATGGCCTGCTAAAGTCAACTCCAAGCACTCCCAGGAAGAAAGCAAAAGAATGGTCAACCCTTGATTACTACTGTTTTGTACTTCCTGCAACTCCTATATCCCAATCTCACACCAAGAACTCTCAGGCTGGCCCTTGCTGGCCCTTCCTGTGTCAAAATCTATTTCTAATGTTCTGAAGTGGTGACACTGAATGTGATTCAGACAAAGAAATGGCTTTCTAATAATGGAAGCATTGGAACGCCTCACGGTAGGAATTGGGAGTTCATATGAGCCATTTGATCACCCCTAAAAATTATTATCAGCCGTGCCTACTCATAGGATTTCCTTTTTCTAACTTTGACTTCATCTTTAAAGTGTGTATGTCACTGAACTACTCAAGCCTATCACAGAGTCTGAAAAGCTGTTGACACTCAATGCACATTTGTTGGATAAATG